CAAAGCCAGACTCAGGTGATGCAAAGTGACTTGTTGCGTTAAGCCTTGGCCAACCCCAGGGACACCATCATCAAAATGATGAGGGACTGTCAGGCCCTAATGAGGCTGCCTGTGTCCAGGGCTGGCACTCGTGTGCGATCCTTGGCATCCCTGCGTGACGGGTCCTGCCCACACCCAGCCCTGGCACTCTTTGCTTTGCAGCAGGGTAACTGCAGCTCTCTGCTGATCTCTCCCATCGCTTTGGTCACACGCCACCACTAACCAGATCTCAGCAAAGCAGGATAAGGTCTCGACAATGAAGACTGCAGCGTGCTGTGCTTTTGGCAGGAGGAGATGTTTTGAAGCTCATCTGCTTTCTCACAGTTTTTGGGGGGAACCTTCCACCGCTTTGAGAGTGCAGGGAAGTTATCCTGATGCTGGGGCTATCAGCAATTGTGCTTGACTGTACCCTGCCAGCAGGTGCTCTGAAAGGGAAGTGTCCAGACTCGGACCGTGCCACTATCTGTTGTTCACCTGCCTTGAAATGGGTGCCCCAAAGCATATACCAGATTCTCAAAAGGCCTTTCCAGCACTGAGCAGAAGAGCTCAGTGAGGAACCCTGTTTTGTGTCACTGTTAACCCACATCAGCTGTTACCATCGAGAGAAGCTTTTCTTCCTCGACAGCTATTCCCCATCCTATATTTGTCTGACCAATGATTTCAGTGCAAGCATCATGCCTCACATTCATCTCTGTTCAATTATGCCCTCTCTCCCTTTCTCTCTCCCTTTCTCTCTCCCTTTCATCTTTTCTTTTTTTTCATTTCCAGATCATTTCTGCACTTTGGCAAGACCATTTTGAGGCTTGCTCCCTTTGCCAGGTGCACTCACAACATCCCCATTTCACTGCAGTCTCCACACGTACCCCTCGCTGTTTGTTGCTCAAACCAGCAGCAAGGTTGGAGCCTGGGCCAGGGAACCTTGTCCAGGACCTCCCTCTGTTTCAACACTGTTAAATACTCTCGGGGTTTGAAAGATTCACGTGCCTTTTTTAATGCTTTATCTCCACAATCCTTCCCTAAATTCACTAATGGGAAAACTTCCTTCATAGCAATGCCTGAAGTCTTACTACCATCAAGATCTGCCAGCTCTTGCTTTTCCCTCTTGGTGAAGCCAGTGGCTCTGTTGCAGCAGGTGAGTTAATGGGTTTGACACGACTGATCCCTGACGCATCCATGTTGGTAATCACTGGTCAAGGGAGAGTTTGTGCTTGTTCAGAGAAAGTGCTGTTGTGCAAGCCACCCTGTGGTCAGTGCAATGTGTGAGACACCAGCTTATCTGATCTCCACTGCAGGCATTTTCTGTGTTTTCCAAAAGATCGATTTATATGTGGGGATCTCGGCACAACCAGCAAAGTCCCTGTCCAAAAACTGGTGTCTGCTCTGCTCATCTGCCTGCTCTGGAGGAGATGCAGTATGAGGCAGGCTTGAAACCGCCTAGGAAATTACGCTGGGACGAGGCTTTCTTCCTTCTTCTTCTCTTCCCTTCTGTATTCTGTATTTTTCATTGTTTGTTCCCCCCGCCCTGGCTGACTTGCTTTGTCACCATTTGGGATGACCCCCTATTCCAGGGTCACCTCCCCCACCCCATAGTTTCTGTTTGCTTCTGTCTCCACTTTGTCCTGGACACAGTGGTGCTGGGGACCGGCTGCAGGGGGAAAAGAGAGAGACAAATCAACTTGTGCCAAATATTTACAGGTCTTTCTATGCTGGCATAAATAAATTAGATGATATAAAACCAGCTAAGACTTGTATTGACATTCCCATTTAGAACATAATGGACTAATGCTGCCTTTAGTTTAACTAAAGAGTTTGAGGGAATTAAAGATTAACCTGGATCACCGAATATTTACTTCAAAGGAGAGCACACACACACACACGCAAAAGTAGTGTGGCTCAACTAGCCTGATCTAAATTTCCCTCTCAATGATTTTGGATTAAATTTTCAAGCGTGTGCGCCATAATTTTGTTAACATAAACCACTGCCTCATGTCTGACTACTGTTTAAGAAGCGAAACGTTTTGGTGTCTTATTTGCAAGAATCAGCTCTGCCAATGTAAATATATGTGTGTATATGTATATGTAAATATATACCTACACACACACGCACACACACACACACATCCCTGTATCTCATTCTCTTCGTTCAGACTGCTGTACCTCCTCACTAAAGCGTCCTTGCTCCCCAGCGCCCGGCCCTGCAGCCAACACGTTTCTCAGCATCACGCGGCTCTTTGCTCGGTGCCGCTGCCTCGCGCGGCGTGGGGACCGCGCAGCGCAGGGCACGTGCAGGGCGAGCGCTCGCTACACACCCGGGCCCTGCGCTGTTCAAAGGGAGCCCTGCAGAAGCGGCCCTGCAAGCACCGGGATTCGCTCCTCTCTCCTGACATTTGCCTGCTTGTTCCCTTGAGCAAACTGCAGCCTCGGAGGAGGAAAAGCCAGGGTCGCAATTACACTGCTGCAACGTAAGGAAAGCCGAGGGTGGCTGAGTCAGGCCTCAACAACTCGCTCAAGACGGCACAAGCAATGCGGTGCAGAGTCAGGAGCAAAACCTGCTTTAGGGAGCCTGGCTCAGCCGTTTGCAGCTGTACAGGCAGAGATGCCCTTGAAGACGTGTAGGAGCAAACGCAGCAAAGGCCCGTCCTGTGAAAGGGAGACCCGCAAGCTTGGGGCAGGAGCCAAGTTAGAAGCTATTTAAAAAGGCTCAGCGTGCGAGCCCTGGGCCACCCCCTCCCATTGGGGTCCCGGGACTGAAAAGGGCTTGTTGACCCGCTGCTCACCCCCTCTGCCAGCCTTTCTGCTCGCTGCTCCTCACCCGCCACCGCTTAATCCCGCGGGGAGAAGCACAAAGGCTGCCCAGGGCCTGCGCCGCCTCATTAGCATTTGGCTTGAGCAGGGTTTCGTCCCACTTTGTGAGGGTGGCAGCTCACACATGAAGCAAATAGCACTTTTGTTGCCTGTCCTCCTGCTCGGGACGGCGACTCCAACACCGTCTCGACTGCCTTGGTGGCGTAGTGTCAGGAGTTTGTTGGGGCTTTTGTCAGGAACCTGGCATCGTTTTTTGGCTTTTTGAGAATGGGAAAGGATCTTGGAGGTTACGTGATCCGCCAAAATGGGGTGGTTCCCACAGGCTGTGTCCCTACACACACGCGGACCACAGGGGACACACAGAGATTTAGCTAGTAGTGGACTCCATAGTGTGAGACCTGCAGCTCTGGCCATCCTTGGCTGTCCCAAGGGGCCACTGAAGCCTGGCAAGAGCATCAGAGCAGCCACAGAGGCCTGGGATAGTCCAGAAGACCGGAACAAATTCCAGCGATGGGTTCAAAGGGAGCCTCCGGTCACCTCCAGCTGTGAGCCAGGCTCTGCTCCCGCCGGCACCTGTGCAGAGGTGCTCCAGGAGCTCCCAGAGCCGTGTCCGGGCCGCTCCGCAAGGCTGATTCACTTCATTAAGCCTCGAACCCTGTGGCTGCCGGAGCTCGCGGCGTTACACACGACTCAGCACCGCTGCGGTTGGCAGGGGGACCTGTTCCCCCGGGCAGTGGCGTGCAGCTGGCAGGTATCTCCTCCTCCCAGCTGGAAGTTCAGATCTGCCCGGCACCTGGGCGGGACAGAAGCCCGTGCCCATCGGAGGAGCATCTGCAGCAAGGGAGGTGCCGGCAGCCAAGCACCGGGCACGTAAGGGATCGGGGTTCCTGTCCAGCGCGAGCAGTGGGGTTTTGCTAGCCGAGAGACGGGGCCGCAGGCTGCGTGGGGCGGCGCGAGCCCTGAGCCGGAGCTCCACCGGGTTGCCCTTTGGGGGCTGGATGGAACGACCTCTGTTTCCAGCAAATATCATAAACTGCCTCCTAGCAAGCAGTCTATTGAGACTGCAGCTCAGTTTCTTAGATGTGGGCGTAACAACTTAGGACGTTCATTCTGTGAAAGCTAATGCCTGGAAAAAAAAAGTGAAGACAAGCAAAATGGTGCTGCTTTAGAATATTTCCTAGCAACTTGCAGACCTGGGGACAGCCCAAGTTTGGTGTCTTTGTACAAAGTAGCATCAGCTGGATTTTTCTGCTATTAATTTGTCCGTCTGCTTTTTGAACCCATGTCATGTCTTCCAGTTTCGGGGTTCCCTTGGGCAGGAGCGTGACCCTTGCATTTCCCTCATCATTCCCTATTTTCTATATTTAGTAATCCAGATGCTTTTTTTCTGCGAACTAGTCCAGTCTCGCCTGGAACCCACGCAAGCGTTTACACCTAAGAGCTTCCCTTGGCAAGGAGTCACCTCCGTGCCACGGGAAGAGCCGTGTCCTTTCGCTTGCCCGGGCCTTGTCTCCCTTGGCTTCGCGGTGCCGAGCTCCTGCGGGAGGCGGCGCGGGCTGCCCCGGCCCTCCAGCACTGCCGCCCGGGCCGGGGGACGCTCTTTGATCCTCCTCAAGCCCCTTCTCCCAAATGTTCTATGTCTGATTATATCTTGCTTTGAAGCTACATTTAGGGGCCTGGGTCACTGCTGTTGCTTGAAGAGGAGACCTGCTGCACAGCTCTCTCACTGTCTAAATCCCTCTGTTTTTTGGCCACAGGCTGTGCCAGCTCCTGTGATCCTGTTTGCTTAAGTAATTGGCACCACATACCATGCACAAGCAGCTGGTGGTTTTCTTTTTTTTGTTCTTTTTATTTTTTTTTTCTCCTCTGAAGGGAAGAGTGGATGTCTGGGCGTTTCTGTGAGCGGGCCGGGTGCTCGGCTGCCTCCTGGTCGCCAAGCCGTTCTCCTGACGTCCAGCCTACCCTGCTCTCCTGGAGAGAGCCCACGGCGTAGCCGGCCTTGGAGGCGAGAGTCCAGTACTGCCCGGGAGCGGAGGGGACCACGTTCAGTGCTGCAACAGGTCCTTTCCTTTGGCTTTACCCTGGGCAAAAGCATGTTTAAAAGATAACAAAGCAAGAAAACCTGATTACAACTGATTCATTTGATTAAGGTGGCGATGGGCCTGAGCTGCACGTTCCAGCTTCTTTGCAGCGTGAAGATGTTCAGCTTAGGCCAGGAGCAGGAACCCCTGCCCAGTTTGGGTCCTGAGGGGACCTTTGCTAGAGGTGAGCTTGCATTCGGAACCAGTCTTGAGGAACAAGAAGTCTTTATTTTAAAAATGAAAATAAAAAAGTGGTTTGTTACAATTTTCCTTTCCTCTTGGCCCCACTGCAGATCTGCTCTCCCTTCTGCATCCTAATCTTTTATTTTTTTGGCGGCTAAAACTATTATCTTTATTGTTCCAGGCCTTGGCTTCTTCCTGGTAAATCTCCTAATTGGATTTTTATTCCCCAATCTATTTAGTTTCTTCTGTGTGTTCACTGAAACCCTTTAACCCTTACGTGCCCTCGCGGCGCTGCTCTGCGTCCCTCTCCCGGCAGCGCGGCCGGTTCCGCTCCGCGCGGCGCTGAGCTCGTGTTCAGCCTGACTTCAGTGTCGCTCCTCCTGCTGGGCTGTCCCTGAGCGGTGCCGGTCCTCTCTCCTCCCAAAGGAATTTTCTCCTTTTCCCTCCCCGGGTATGTCCAGTGAGGGGACATCAGCCCAAATAACTTCTGAACCCAGCCGCATGTGGCTAGAATAAGCTCTTCAAGGGAACCGGTGATTTGGGGTGCCGTAACTGTAGGCAGCCTTTAAAAACCTTCTGTTGTTTTTTTTGTTTTCATTTTGGGAAGCGGGTGCCTGATTAGGGCAGGGGCACAGAAAATCAGCCGGCATCTCCCAGTCGCAACAGTGAAAAGCAGATCGTTGATCCAGCCTCAGCTCTTACCAAGCAGAGGAGGGCTGAATCCCTCAGCACCAGGTGTGAGCTCGTGTTTCTCGCTGTGCCCTTAGACTAGGAGCAGCCCCAGGAGCCCGTGTGGGCTCGGAGAGGGCAGAGGTTGGAGAGGGCAGGTAGGAAAGGAGGAAAAACAGGAGAGATGGTGCGCATTTTGGGCCAGGCCTAGGGGCCCGGCGCTCAGCCAGCCGCGCTGGACCTGGTTCGTCTCCTCCTCCTGTGCTTTCCCAGCTGTTCCCTGTCCTCGGAGCGTCGGTGTTTGTAACGCGGGAGCGCGTTGCCATGGTTAACGCTGCTCTTCCCTGCAGGGTTGGTCCCTCACCTGCGAGAGGGAGAGGTGCAGCCCTCGGGATGCGCAGAGAGACGCGCGTTTACCCTCGTTACGCCTGTGCCTGCAGTGGCCCCGGTGAAGAGAAAATGTGGGGGGAAAGCAAGTCCATGGGGAGCACGGGAGAGGGCTGCGCTGGGGGAGCTGGTGAGAGGAGCTGGGCAGCCAGGAGGAGGCAAGAGAGGGCTGATCCCACCTGCCCCGCGGAGCAGCCAGCGGGGAGCTTCTCCCTGGTGCTTTTGAAGCTGCTGGCAGCACTAAGCTGATGCGAAGTAATGGATCTCCCAGGAAAGACCGGCGCAGTTCCCGAGTTTTGAGGCTAATGCTATTACCCAAGTTTGAATCGATGGGACGATTTTAAATTACTTTCACATGAACGTGCATTAAATTAAGGATTAAATCAATACCTGCTGGGCCCCGGTCCAGCTCCCGAGGGAAGCCAGGCCCTCCAGCTACAGCTGATTCATTTCCCTTCCTGGCCTCGGCGGCTCTGTGGCTGGGGAGCTGCACAGCTCCCAGTGAAGCTTCCCAAGGGTCTCTTTGGGAAGGGCTCGTGATACCCTCCTGGATCCACGGGCAGTGTGTCCAGGGCAGCACACCCGGCCTGGAGCCAGCTCCTTTCTCCTGTTTTAAAGGGGAATGGACCCAAAGATGCTGCTTGCACCGGGGCTGCCAGTAGCTTTTCCAACTGGTTAAAGCAGGCGGTTTCTCTGAGGGGTGAGACCAAGCGCTGTCTCCGGGATTTATTAACCCCCTAAGATCCGTGTGCAGCCTCAGCGTGAGGAAGCGCCCAGGCGCGTCCCAGGGGCGCACGACCTGGCTCCTCTGCCCAGCGCTGCCTCGAGCGGGCCCTGCGCGGGCAGGAGGCTTCCAGGGAGCGACGGCAGGACCTGCCGCGCGGGGCTGCAGGACACGGGGAAGGAGGACCCCGCACGGACACTCCCCCC